AGATTAGGTTAAGAGTATTTGATTATAAGTTAGATAAGTAGTGTTTAGGGATTAAAAAAAAATTCAGAAATAACTAAGGGTAAAATAGCCATTTCACCATTAAAAACATACCATAAAAGGAAATAATTTTCTTTGTTGCAAGTAATGTATTACGGCTAAAAATAGTAATTGTTGCGAGTAAAAAGTTATGGAGGAAGTAGAAAAAAAAATAGGGACAAAAAGAGTACAGTACATACAAGTATACAACGATACAAGATTGTGAACTGCAAAGAATCAATAGAACCCAAAATTAGAATCAACGCTGTTCTCGCTCTTCACGGGTCTTCAGTAAATAATCCACGTGCAAGTGTGCAAGTTGTTCTTTTTTTAATAATAAAAGTTATTTAAGTAAGATTATCAGATTCTATTAAAAAAAAAAAAAAAGTAAGATTATCAGATTTATTATCAATGATTTTTTTTAACTGGCTTATCAATGATTTATCTTGTATAAGTGTTAAACACGACTAGTCAAATTAACTACTCCAAATATATTTTTATTTAATTTCTCCGTATTATTTTTAGGCTCATATTTGCTGAAATAAGATTGTTTATAGTCACTATTCAAAAAAAAAAAAAAATTGTTTATAGTTAGGGATGTCAATGGGGCGGGGCGGATGTTGGCCTTCCCATCCTCATCCCCACCTAATATTTTCATCTCCATCCCCATCCCCGCGGCGGGTCCAATTTTCATCCCCATTCCCGCCCCACTGGGTACAACTCCAAAACCATCCCCGCCCCACCCTCCACTTGGATATCCATCCCCACCACAGACCCGCCTAATCCCCACCCAAGATCCACCTAACATCCGCATCTCAAATACACAATCTTACATAATTAATACGAATTATAAAATAAAACATTCTATACACATTTTTGTGTTATAATATAAGTGTCGTACAAAGTATTATAATTAATATTGTATTTATGTAATTATTTTATAAATAGAATAAAAGTATGTAATTTTGCTTTAAAAGATATATAGATGTGGGTATGAGGTGGATTTTGTGCGGGTACGAAGTGGGGCGGGGATGGGGCGGGTACAACTTAAAATCCACCCCCGCCCATCACCCATGGCGGGTATGGTTTTTATCCCCATCCCCGTCCCACCACCCGCCAAACCGAGATCCATCCCCGCTCTATTGGGGCGGGGATAGGGCGGGTCTCCTACTTAACCCGCCCCGCTGACATCCCTATTTATAGTCAAGTTTTCAAAAAAGATTGTTTATAGTCAAAACATAGCATTGACGAGTTAACGACTTAGCTACAAGTTACTTGAAAAAATTATGTCATACTCTAATAAAGATTATTTTCAAGAACCATATATAGAAAGTTCAACACTGCATCAAAATTGTTATGGTCAATTACATTGATTACATCTCATTGAATAAGGGATAGCTTAGATGGTTAGAGCTTTATGTTCTCTTTCGATTACAGGTGTATTAGATCGAATGATCGATTCTCATCTCTTGTCTTTATGTCTCTCTATAAAAATAAATAAATAAATAACAACTTCTTATTGTTATTATAATAAAATAGGTCAGTTCTCGTGCTATATACAATAATTTTCAATAACTATATTAAACTATTATTATAATTAGTTTTTTAATAAAAAAATCTAAAAAAAAATATAGTTAACAAATATTGATCAAAATAATGGGGTGTGAAAGATATGTTAGATATAAAATGATGTTAAAAATGATCAAAATTATGTCAAATATTTGAGTTAATGATATGTCAAATCTTTTTTATTTTAAGTAATTATGTTGTATGGAGTATAAGATTAGGGAGTTATTTTTGTATAAGATTTATATTTTTATTAGAATTTTATTCACAAAAAAAAAAAAAAAAAAAAGACGTAAGGACACACCAGAAGATGACACTTATCATTGCTGGTGTAAGAATATTGTCTCAATAGGGAGGCACACCCATTGTGAGAGCATGGTTTTTTTTACTCTTATCTAGAGATGTGCCAAAATCAATTTTTAATGTGTCAAAATCATTTTCTCCCAATATAATGAATGAATGGCTCTTATTTTAGCCTTTTAGGAGCGTGTTTTTATTGTTGTTACTCCGTAGCATAATGGAGTACGATAGTGGCTTAGGAATTCTTTTCTTGTTAATGTACTAGTTATATTGAGTTATTCAACTTTGATGATAAAAATTGTGTATGTTTTAATGTTGTTACTCCGTAGCATAATGGAGTAAAATAGTGGTTCACTCTTTTATTGATGAGCCACGCCCATCAATAAAAGAGTGAATATACTATATAAAATCACAAATTTAAAATTTCATCCCAAAATCATATGATGATACGGAATAATAGAATTAAAGAGTAACTTCTTAATAGTCTTATATCCAAGGAATAATATGTTTAATTCTTCTAATGAACTTTTATTTATATATGGAGTACACAAACAATGTTGGATTTAATTCCTACAGAATAGATATAGACCATTATATTGCTTGCAATTTTCAAAGTCGGTGTCGTATCACGTTTGTACACCACCAATTCGGTCTTCAGAAATTTAAGGGACTTTGGAAATTATTTCAGAACAACTTAGAACATACAATTGGCGTTTTGCGTGGACAAGATGATGTTGAATTGGACCAGATTCCGGCTAGTAATTGCATTAAATGTGTTTTCCATGCATTTCATAAACAAGCTAAGTATGAATTTTCAAAAAAAAAAAAAAAAAAAAAACAATAGTTTTCTCAAATTTTAACGGAGTTACATCATCAATTCTCCGGTGTAACTAGCCGTCTAGCCACATATATACTTCGAATGAATGGTGATAAAAAAAAAACACATATTTCAATTTGTATAGAGTACATAACTAGCCGCTTATATGTGTTAGGATTTAGACAATTAAAGTTCTTAAAATCTACTCTATCGTAGTTGATGATTTTATTAGAGATTTGTCCGTAATTAAAAGTTTCTCAAGGGCATCAATTAAGCAAGTACAGTAATTTTAGAAATAACACCACAATTTTTTCAAAAAATGAATTATTATAAAAAAAAAATCAAAAAAAAAATCAAAAAATCAATTTCAATTCTTCTTAACAGATTTTTGGATGGACTTACTCTATATTGTCCAATTCATACAACTAATTATCAAATTAGGTCATCAAAGGAGTACATATACAAAGAATAAAAATATCTGAATGCAATTAGCAAACAAATTAAATGATGAATTTGGTGTGCCACTCAACTCATCACATACCACCTTCCTCTCAAATATGAAAAAAAATAAATATATTTAAAAAAAGAAAATTCAAAAGTGCATGTATGTAGAATTATTAAGTAACTTTCAGCTTCTATTAAATATCGTCACCTTTAATTACGTCCTTGACAATATTATATCATGCATTTTCTATTTGAAGGATGACCTAACGATAAATATAATGTTAATTATATTATTTATATACATATCCTCACGAAATTAATTAATAAAAGTAGAATCCAAAAGTTGGAGTTGAATTAATTTAGTAAGATCAACGTGTATATTCAAAATTTATATACTATATAGTAATTAGTAATGTAGACCACCCTTATTATCAAATATATATATCACCATCCTAATTTACTTATTTGGAAAAATCCTAATAACATTAGCTAAAGAGTATAGGTTACCTATTCAATATAAAATAACATAAATTAATTGGCGATTCGTTAGTTTTATAAACAAAGTTGGTGTGATCCAACTCACATATGATCAACAAGTATTATTTTTGCTTCTTTCTTAGCATATATATCTAATTAATTAGGTACCTTCTATTAGGTGAAATTACTAATTATGTACTAACACACATTGTTCTTTTAGTTGTCCACTTAATTGAAGAAAAAACTTCCTTTAGAAAAAGTCGTGCATATGAGAGTTAATGTAGTAGATTTAGAAATTGTGATAAAAAAAAGGGACGATGTAAAAAATAGTAACAATAGTAGGATACACTTTACCTAGCTAGGGGTAATGTGTTTGTACGTATTACTAGCTATTTCCTTCCCCCCCCCCCCCCCCCCTCTTTTTCTTTTTTATTTGGAAGAAGATCAAATCAAAGTAGTGTGATGTAAAAAGGTAGTGTGAAAGACAAAATTGGAAAAAAGTTGAATTTTGGGTCTCAAATTTAACATTGCTAAATGACGTAAATACTCAATCTCATGATTTGAACGATTAGAATTGAAATATGAATTACTTAATAACTAACTCATAAATTAATACTTTGTATCACAAATCATTTAGTACGTATATCCTTTTATTGGGTAAAAGGTAGTAGATTTTCATTAAAAGAGTAAGTTAAATGCAAATTCGGGGCATTTCACCTCGATAAATCAACAATTCTAATAATGAGACAACCAAAGTACAAAAATACAAATGGCGGTGGAAATTATATATGATGCTAAGTTGCTAACACACATACACACGTCACACATGATCATGGTAAATTAAACTTGTACCATGCACAATGCATATTGACCACATATATATAGTGAAATCTCACATTCTCACTCAATTTATTTTAGTGTAACTATCCACAAGAGCAAATAATACTCATATAAAGGAGATATTTAACTGTATTATGTGTGCTATTAATAATGTACTAACGGAAACTACGTCCTTGACATATCAACTCTTAGGACAATGATAAACACAACACAATAGAGACTAACTGTTTATGATAAACACAACACAATAGACAAAGTACTCTAATATTAATTAATAACGTGTTTAATTACTTGACCGAAAGCCACAGTCGTACTTTTCGAAGAGAGGCAACAGATGAAACCTACACGTGAGATGTGGGACGGCTGCGTCCAAGTTGATATATCGCTTTCTAGGACTCATCTTAATTTTCGTTGATGACGTCGTACAATATGCATGCAATGCTGAACGATTCTTAATAAACAGTTGCGCATTGTTTGCCTATAAATACCCTGTTATTATTCTTGTTTTAACATCAAATTTGTCTTAAACATCACCTACCTTTTATACAATAAGCAAACACTTATTATTATTATTATTATTACAATAATCTTTGATTAATACGTTTGTGTATTTTCTTGAATTAATTAAGTAATTACTACGTCAAATGGAGATGAATTATCATACGACTTTGTTCATGGTCGTTGCATTGTTGAGTATTACTACTCATCTTTATGTTGCCAATGCAGCTGATCCTCCTTTGCTTCAGGATTTTTGTGTGGGTACTAATGACCCTAATGCCTCAGGTTCGTCTTCTTGTTTTTTCCGCTCTTTTTGTTTAATAATTTCAGTTATATACTATGGTAAAATAGGATCTGATCTTATATAAGGTAGAGTATGATCATTGTTTTTCAATTCTAATCATTTAGCTATTTTTTTTATTATATAGAAGAAATGACTTTTTACTTTTTTGGAGATAACATATCCACGCTACTAATTACTAATTAAGGATTAGTTGTTATACGTAATATGGATGTGATTGGGGAGTTATTTTTTTAATGAAACCATGTACATGTGTTTAAGAAATGTCACTATAGAGTAATAATCTAGTGAAAGACATTTTAATTTGAAGGGATCATATGATGTAGTTGTCGATCTATAATCTCTAAGATACCTTCAAAATTGAAGGAATTGGTGCAAAAAGCCAAAAACCATATGGCTTTCATTGTTTTTGAAAGCTCAAGATTTTTGGTTTGGTACGTAGCTAGATTTTTCTGGATGAATTTTCCTTATTTGATTAAAAAATAAATAAATAAATAAAATAAATAAAAAAAAAACACACCTCATGCCAACTATGCAAATCATAAGAAAAATATAAATTGTTCCCTCTATTTTTGTAACTTGTCCTTTTCGTTATTATGGACAAAGTTTGAATACAATTTTGTTTAAAATATTTTTTTTAGGTGTCAAAAGGACATTCTCTTAAATATGAATCATATCACTTCCATAATCTTCATATAAATAACGTGAAGCTAAAGTTTGACCTTAAAAATTAAAATCAATTACTAATTATTTGATATCGTTATTACTTATTAGATTTATTTATTACCTAGCTGAATAATTTCTAGTTCATGCAAATAAACCACTCTATTACCTAGCTGAATAAGCTAATAAATAAATTAACTAAACCTACTATTACATACACGAGAAATATGATAACTAAATTTGAAAATATGACTATCATAATGTTTTAATGACTATATAGTTCATATATTTAACGTATTTTTATCTAAGTAATTGATTATATTACTCTGTTTTTGCTATAAAATATTATTATCAATATTTTTTTAATTTATCAAATATTTAGTTTTATTTATGTTATTTTTACTCTTATTTTATAGTTTCTCGAAATATATTTATATTATGTTGGATTAAAATTTTCAAAAATTATATTTGCAATGTAGAAATTAGAATACTAATTGTGTCCAATTTATAGTGTGAAAAATGGTCGCTCATATTATTCATCATTAAAATAATAAAGTAGTCATATTTCAAACGACCGCTGTAGAAACATCATAACTAAATTAATAATTTTGATGTATAAAATTCTAAGCTAACTATATGTTTTCTTTTTTCTCAGTCTTTGTAAATGGACAATTTTGCAAGAATCCAAAAGATGTGGAAGTAGAAGATTTCATACACAAAGTGACAAATTATTTATGAGAGAATAGTTTGAATTGTATTGATGATCTTGACTATTATTTATAGCCTACAAAAGATAACCTACACAATATAAACTCTATCATATAAGCTTCCATAAATCTATCTTAGAATATCACTAAGATATATTATTATCCTAAATATAATATTATGAAATCTATATGGAAAATATATCAGAATAATATATTTTCCTATATTCCTAACACCCTCCCGCAATCGTAACGGCAGTAACACGAACGTTACGATTGGAAAGTCGCACTTTGTTGAAGTCGATTGAGTTGCACTACTATGTTGATGTCGCCTTCAATTTTTTTTTATTTAAAAAAAAAGAACTTTTGCTACAACGGCCCTTTGCTGGTGTCCATGGTCTTCTGTCACGGCCCTTTGCTGGTGTCCGTAGTCTTTTGTCACGGCCCTTTGCTGGTGTCCGTGGTCTTCTTTGCCACGACCCTTTGCTAGTGTCCGTAATCTTTTTGGCCACGGCCCTTTGCTGGTGTCCGTGATCTTCCTTGCCAGGCCCTTTGCTGGTGTCCGTGATCTTTTGCAATTTTTTTTTTTTAAATAATAAATAATACGCCAAACGTGGCTTTTCTTCATCTCCATGGAGATGCAATAATGGAGGAAGCACACTCAAACACTACAACCTAACCAAATCACATATGATCATTCATATTGATCACATACACCAATAATAACCCACGTATCACATGGTTATTCCAAAAAAAAAAGATTAAATAAAAAAATAGAAATTTCAAAGAGCAATACTATTGCATAGCAGAAGCAAATTTATGAATCCCACCGGTGGGTTTAATATTCTAACCCACCGGCAGGGGGAGTATTTGTGTGAACGGTCCCAAGATTTAACCTGCTCTTGATACCATGACAAATTATTTATGAGAGAATAGTTTGAATTGTATTGATGATCTTGACTATTATTTATAGCCTACAAAAGATAACCTACACAATATAAACTCTATCATATAAGCTTCCATAAATCTATCTTAGAATATCACTAAGATATATTATTATCCTAAATATAATATTATGAAATCTATATGGAAAATATATCAGAATAATATATTTTCCTATATTCCTAACACAAAGGGTTTCACATTAGAGGAGACACAAACACCACTCTAGGAGCAGAAGCCACACTAGTAGACGTAAATCGATTCCCGGCACTTAACACACTAGGCGTAGCCCTAGCTCGCATAGACTTTGGACCCTTTGGCCTAAACACCCCTCATTTGCACCCTCGTGGCTCTGAGATCTTCGCGGTGCTAGAGGGAACTCTATATGCCGGTATTGTCACATCCAATTACACACTCTATGACGCGGTGTTGAGAAAAGGTGACATGATTGTTTTCCCTCAAGGTCTAATTCACTTCCAATTAAATCTTGGTAAATCAAAGGCTTTTGCTGTTGCCTCTTTTGGAAGCCAAAACCCTGGCCGAGTTAACATTGCTGATGGTGTGTTTGGGACAAGACCACGTATTTTGGATGATGTTCTTACCAAGGGTTTTCAAGTGGATGAGACCGTGATTGAACGACTAAGAGCTCAGTTTTTGAGTAAGAACTTATCAACCAACACTGGAAGATCTATTATTAAGCTGTTGGCTCAAGAAGATTATTTGGCTGATGATACGTACTAATTAATTTTATTAAAATTAATTTCGTACGTAATATAATCAAGATTATTTATGGTAGCTAGCTCTAAACCACAAATAATCTTCTTATCAAGATATGATTTTACTTGGCATTGTTTGTGTGGTTTGGATTAATCTAGGGTTACTTTGTGCTTGGCTTTCTGTAGTTCAAATAAATCAGAGGAATTTAGCACTATTCTGTTGTATGTTCAGTTTACTATTAGTTTCTAAGTGTGCTGTAACTCATCAAAATACATGTGTTTTTTTTTTTAAATGTTGATTATGAATAAAGAGCTAGTCTTTGATCGGTTTTATGTGCTCAATATTTGTTAAAACCTAGAGTCTGTTCTCTTCGGCTTATTTTCAGTTCAATTCGGTTCAGTTCACTTTCTAATTTTCTTCTCTCATAAAATATTTAGTTCAGTTCAGTAAATGAGAACAGGCCCTAAGCTTATTGTTTAATTTATACATGTCGTATACTAATAATTAAGCTATTAGTTTCAGGAATATGTATAATTAGTAAATTGTAAACTATTATTGGTGAAAATATACTAAAGCTCTAAGAATTAACGGATAAAAATAAAGTGGCTAAATTGCTAATTATGGAAAGAGAAAAAGAAGAAAGTATCTTTTTTACTTCCTTTTCCTACAAAATTAACACATTGTCACATTCCCCATTTTAAATCACTTTCTCAATTATTTCTGTATTTAGGTTATATATTGGTTTTTTTTTTTTTTTTTTTGATAATATATCTATTTAATAAGCCATGTATAGTAGCAGTTACAGATAATGAGAAAAGAAAGAAAAAAAAAGGTGAAATCCATGGTTAACTTCTACGAGTACGAAGTAATAAATAACAATTAACAAGCATGCATGCATGGAAAGTTTGTTCGGAGTACTACCTCCGGTCTGATTTACTCGCAACAAAGGGGTATTATTTGTGAGACATAAAATATTCCTTTATTGCGAGTAAATTGGACCGGAGATAGTATTAATTTTTACTCCGTACTTGAATTGATTGTGAAGCGAATTATGGGTATCTCACCTTCATCATGGACCATCCATGTTCAGATGTTCTCATCCAACTACATTGTATGCGTACAAAGAAAAAGTATTGATCGAACACCTAATTTTGTACTAATAATTCATATTTTGATAAAGGCCATTTAAAAGTATTTTTATCTTTAATAATAAATTCTTTAATAATTTATACAATTTTTCTGAACAAAAGATTCTATAGTTCTATATATTATGAATACTATGCATTGTATTCAAAATTGGTAGAATAACATGTCAAGTTTTGTAATTTAAATTTTGAAAGGGCACAAATAGTTTTAATTCGTTAAGTGGATTGCTAAACACCGCCAACAAAAATGATCACCACCGTCAACATTTGGTGTGAATGGACAATCATACCCTTACTACTTCATCATCCCTTCATCCTTCCGGCAACCCACAACCCCTTCCAACCGGCGATCACAACCCCTTTTGACCGACGACCCACCACACCCCCTCTATGACAACCCACCACCTTACCTGGTCGGCGTCGTGAAGGTGGTGGGTTTTTATTTTTATTTTAGGCAACCGTGGTAACCGGAGCCCAAAACCGGTTACCATGCACGGTAACCGGAGCCCAAAACCGGTTGGGCTCTGGTTACCGTGCACCTTAATTGATTCTATGGTAACCGGAGCCCAAAACCGATTACCATGCACGGTAACCGGTTTTGGGCTCCGGTTACCATACACGGTAACCGATTTTTGGCTCTGTTTACCATACACGGTAATTGATTTTGGGCTTTGGGTACCGCGATTGCCTGAAAATCTGAAATTTAAAAAAAAAAAAAAAAAAAGGGAAGGTGGTGGGTCGCTAGTGCGGTGTGATCGTCGCCGGTCAGTGTGGTGGGGGTGGTGGTGGTGTTAGTCGTCAACTAGGGTGGTGGTGTCAAGGTGTTAGTGATTGAAGGCAAGAGGGAAGATAGTAGTGAAGTACTAAGGACATGATTGTCCATTCACACTAAATGTTGGCGATTTTTGATAATTTTGGATGTCGGTATTTAACACCAAAAAAGTCAAACTTATTAAAGCGAAAAGTTGGAAGGTGGGTTAAAAAAAAAAAGAATTTGTAACTGGCCGAAATGACAACTTGCAACGAATTGACACCCATTATAATCAAATCTGATCTGATTTGGACTCTAAATTTCAAGGACTAGTAATAAATCTTTGGATATGTGGTTCGGGCCGGGTTACAATTTTACATAATCCCCACGTTCATTAGCTAACATTTTGTACAATTAAATAAGATCATAAGTTAATTTGTCTTTTCCAAAATTTCTTCTTGAATGTTTTTTTTCTATTTTTGTTCCTAAATGTTCTTTATACTTTGATTTTTGACATTATTCATAAATTTCACTTTGACCATGTATGTATGTATGGATGTATTGTGTAGTGTAAATTGGTGATTTTCACGTCCCTATTATTCATTTCCGATTATTATTTATAGAAAAAAATCTCTTTCTGAATCATTTAAAAGATAAAAAGGTACTACTCCGTATAAACAAAGCTTAACGGGACAATGAGATAAAATATTGGATAAACATAATGAGACAGCAATAGTACAAGTTAATTTCAAAAAGTATTGGTTCTCAACCATACTTAAAGTCGTGTTTAATTTAATGTTGCACGTTAGGTTGAAAATTTATTGACGTCCTTGAAATGGCTAAGATTTTTGTTTGGATTGTGTGGTCGGCACTCTTGCGGTCTTACCCAGTAGATGTATAAAACGCAAGGCAAGGAGCTCATGGTTGAGGTCTCTGAGCAGTTAAAGACCATCATATTCTTTATACTTCCGGCCCAATATAAACTAAGTGACTTGATTTTCTTATATGTACTTTGTTTTGATTTTATTAGTCGAAAGTAATATCAACATTATTCTCTCTTCGTGTCTTTCTATTCGTCCCAAGTGCTCTTTTTTTTTTTGTACAATTTTAAAAAGGAAAATTTGAATTTTGGTATCTCGAATATGGGGGTAATTGAATTTTAGTACTCATCTAAAATTTTATTTTAAATTGGTACCTCCAAAAGTGTAACTTTATAGGTTTTGGTACCTCCGTCCATGTTTCGTTAAGTTTTCCGTTAGTGGGGTCCATTATCTAATTATTTAATAATTTAAATTATTAAAAAAAAAAGAAAAAACATTTTTTAAAAAAAAAACAAAAAAAAAAAAACCACCAGCCACGCTTCCCTCCTTATTCCGGCCAACGGCGACCACCAAGCCACAGCAGCTGCCGCCGCGACTAGGCACGAAGCCCAGCCACAGTAGCTGCCGCTGCGGCCAGGCACGAAGCCTAGCCACAGCAGCTGCCGCCGCGGCCAGGCAGGGGTGCCAATAAACCCACCACCCACGAACCCAAGAACCCAGAAACCCACCACCCACCACCCACGAACCCCGAAACCCACCACACCCCACCACCCACGAACCCCCGAAACCTTCAACCCCACCACCCACGAACCCCTAAACCCACCACCCACAACCCACGAACCCAGAAACCCACCACCCTACCACCCACAAATCCCGAAACCCACCACCCACAACCCAGAAATTTAACCCTAAAACCCTAAAAATTGATTTGGGGGAAAGGGGGAAGGGGTGATGTCGAGGCAACCAAGAGTGAGAAAGAGGAGGGAAATCGGCGACGGGAAAGGGAGGGGGTTTTCGATGTGGTGGTTTTCAAATCAGGTGGGTGGGGGTGGCGTCGTGGCGGGGAGGCAGGGCTGGTGGGGGGGGGGGTGGCGTCGGCGCGGGGAGGCAGGACTGGTGGGGGGGGGGGGGGGCGTTGGCGCGGGGATGCAGGGCTGGGTGGCGGGGTACTATTATTTTTTTAAAGTTTTTTTAATTAAATGTGTTGTCTTTTTTTTTTAATAAATTAAATTATTAAATAATTAGATAATGGGACCCACTAACGGCAAAATTGACAGAATGCTAACGGAGGTACTGATATCTATAGTTTAGTCATTTTTGAGGTACCAATTTAAAATAAAATTTTAGATGGGTACTAAAATTCAATTACCCCCATTTTCGAGGTACCAAAATCCAAATTTTCCTTTTAAAAATGTATGACTTAACATCAATATTTCTAGCTATATATATATATATATATATATATATATAATTTAAGTCCCGTGCAATGCACGGTTTTTACATAGCATATTTATAAATTATAATGTTAATTTAACAATAATTAAAAATAATAAAAATCAATATTTTTAATTGAAACAATACTTGATTTTATTTTCCATTGAATTTTATATTATATTGATATCAAAAGTTATTTAAAAAAAAAGAAGCAATATTTAATGATTATAGGGTTTTATTAAAATGTTATGTTAATTATAACCCGTGAAATGTACTTATGTACCCCATATATCCCTATTTTGTTGGCATGTTTTGACTGCACAATGTTTTATTGCATACTTTGACGGTATAATGTTTTATACAAATTTAATTGAATATTTTTTTTTGTGACAATTAATAATCAAGGTTTTTTAATTTTTATTTTATAGTTATTGAATTGTAGTGTTATTTTTATAAATAAATCAACAATTCTAAAAAAAAAATATTATATGTCAAAATATTTTCATTGATTGAATGCATATAGAATATACTTTATATATAGTTGTCAAATTTAAAGTTAAATATTTTAGGATATTATAAAATAATGTTCATAAATATTGTTAAAAAAAGGAAAGTAAAAGTGGCGGAATTTTTTTTTAATCAAAACATGACAAATGTCATATCAGATTCACCTTTAGTATTATGTTATTGATACATATATATATATATAGTTGATGTTTCAAGTAAAAACAATGGGATCTTCAGACAGGTCATAACCTGTGGGCTGAGCACTGATCTCGGTCCAAGTGATGATTGGGCTGAAGGTTTCCTGCATAGCAAACACACTTAAACTTACCTCGGTGGTGTTGTCGAGGAAGGCCCTTTCGATGCCGAAATCAGTACAGTGTTTAAAGAGAAAAAAACTATGCAAGAATAATAATTGCTTAGCTTAATGTGAATGAATGTAGAGAGAGGAGAGTGAAGGCTTTTATACCTTGCTCAAATGATAGTTGGGCCTTGAAGTCAAATGGACTTGCTATGTTTTCCGGGCCTTAGATTGACTTGGCATGACTTAGAGGGTTGACATTTGCCTTGCAATTAGTATTATGTGCACCATGGTGCACCTAGAAATAGGTGCACCACGAAGATACTTTTGAACATTTAGTAAAAAAAAAAAACTGAACATTTTACAAAAAATGAACATTTAGTAA